CTCTATGACATGAGGTCATGACTCACTCTTAGAAAGTTCCAGAACTGCAGTGACCTTTTTTTTTTCCTCTCCCTAAAGATGGTGCTTTCTGGTAGCTCTCAGTTTCCCAGTGCCCTTTTCCTGGGGTCTTCGGGGGTTCTCAGGGGGAGGGAGTGGGCACCAGGCAGGTCTCAGGCAGCATGGCCGTAGGAGGCAGACCGTGCTAGGGAGTCAGGAGGGGGGTGCTGTTCCCCACCAGTGTCCCCGAAACAAGGGTTCCACCAGCACCAGTACATGTGTGATGGCCCGATCTCAAAGGTCAGGGACAGAGAACCCCCCTGGGAAGAAGCTGCTGCTACCTTAGACCAGGCCAAGAGGCTTCCAAGAAAGCCGCTCATATCTGGCACCCTCGTCCCACACTCGATGATCTACCCCTCCCCCTCCCTTCCATGGAACCCCCCACTCCCCACAGTTCCTCGTGGAATTGTGCTGCCTAGCGCCATTCTCCTCAGAGAATGCCATTCTCCGCACGCTGATTTATTGTGTCGCTAGTATTGGCTCACAGGTGTTTGGCGTGCAGAGAGTTTTATCATACACGAAAAGATCTCCCGTGACCATGCCAGCCCCCGGTGGTCTGTCAGTGGGAAGGTGGGTGTCATTTCTGTGTTTTCCCTTGAGGGCCTCAAGAATAGTATCCACCCTGTCATCCACACCTTAAAGGGGAGGTACTTCTTTTAAAACAGTCTGTGAAAGGGTCTGGGATGTAGCTCTGTGATAAAGCATGTGTATTACTGTGTGAGGTTCTGGGTTCCATCCCCAGCATCGCAAAAAAAAAAAAAAAACCATTTTTTCCCCTTAATTGAAAAAAAAAATGTACGTGTAAGTTTCCTGATAGTTCAGCTTATATTCCGCTGGACAACACAAAATGCCGAGACTAATTGAACAGTTCCCAGTTCTGCAGAGATCCTGCGTGTCCGACGCTGACCATGTTAAAGCGTCGTTAGATTAAAGGCGTTTATTGCAGGAGCTGAGTTTCGCCAGTTAGAGACATTCTGTTGACCTTTCCTTTTCCTCATCGTTAAAATTCAAGGCATTGAGTCGCAGCCCTGTGTGCGTGCATGTGTGTGCTCATTCCTGCATCAGACACAGGCTGCCCGTCCAGGCTGGGACACAATCGGGGATTGGTACTGGCGAAGGTGTAGCTGAATGGGGAGCTGTTTGAAATGGCCAAACAGTGGCAGCATCTCGTATTATTATTTACAGAAAATATTATCTACCTGTGTGAATCTTCTGTTTTTCTTTTTGGGTCACACCCAGCAATCTCAGGGGGTTACTTCTGGCTCTGCACTCAGGAATTACTCCTGGTGGTGCTTGGGGGACCCTAGGGGATGCCGGGGATCAATGGGTCTGCCGTGTGCAAGACAAATGCCCTATCCACTGTTCTCATACTCCGTTCCCAACCTGCATGACTTTAGGGTCTCCTTTCATTTGTATTAAGCATCCCCGACCAGCACACAGATATCTTAAACTGTTTGGTGTGAGGACCACACAGGGTGTGCTCAGGGCTGACTCCTGACTCTGCACACAGGGCTCACTCCTGGCTGGGCTCAGGGAACCACATGGGGTCTTAGCGACGGAGCACAGCCCAGCTGTGGGCCAGCCAGTGCCCTACCCGTTGTCTTATCTCTCCAGCCCCAGATTAAATTGTTACTGTTGTTGTTAATCCATTATAGGAAAGGAGATCTTTAAAAGACGTTCATGGCAAAGGTCTGGAGATGTTCGCATGGCACCGTCACTCCGTGTCACGAACCTGTGTGCAGTGCAGAGCTGCGTGGAGAGGGGCGAGGTTTCTGCCGTCACGGGGCACGGTGCAGAACAAGGCTGCCTCTCATGGCACGGTGGTCTTGCTCCCACACAAGCGTGGCAGGGCTGTGGGACGGCGGGGACCCTCTATGGGTGGGCCCCCCATGCTCTTGCCATCTGGTATTGGCTTTGCTTGGCATCTGCACGGTGGTGGTGAGGCGACCGACCCTTCTCGAACCTTGATCTCCCTCTCAAGTGACAGATCCCGGTAGTGGATTTTGGCTCTGGCCCCTGAGCCTTGGCCTTAAGTCCCAAACAATTTTCTTATGACATTCTCACTCAGAAAATGCTTCCAAAGAGGCAGCTGAAAGCTCAAGCCAGATGAGACACACTTGGGGGGTGGGGGTGGGGATGGGAATCTCTTTTATCGTTTGACCAGGTTTTTTTTTTCTTATTTCTTTTTTTTTACTTTTTGGGTCACACCCGGCAATGCTCAGGGGTTCCTCCTGGCTCTGCTCTCAGGAATCACTCCTGGCCGTGCTCAAGGGACCCTATAGGATGCCAGGGATCGGACCCTATCCACTGCAAGCAAGTACCCTATCCACTGTACTATTGCTCCGGCCCCGGATATGGAGATTTTTTTTTAATTTTTTTAATTTATTTATTGAATCACTGTGGGAAAGGTTACGAAGCTTTCAGGTTTATGTCTCAGTCATGCAAATATCAAACACATTTCCCTTTACCAATACTTATTTTTTACCATGAAGAACCCCAATAAAACCCCACCCCCCACCCCTCCCCGTCCCTGTGAGGCAGATGAATTCTAGTTAACACTCTATCTGCTTTGATTAGATTCATTGTTTCAATAAAAGATTCACCACTATTATTTAGAGTTTACCCCCCCCCCCCCCAATGCTGAAAAAGCATTGTGAAGTGATTTGCTTTCTACGGCTGGGTTCAAGAATTAAATGTTGGTTTTGGATTTCTGCTCTTTTACCTATTGACCCTGGAAGTATTTCTACTGAAAGTCAGATAGTTAAGAAATTGGTTTCTGTGTTCTGGAGTCCTGGCCGTGCTGGAGAGCCGCTCGCGGGGGGCAACCGGTGGCCTCGGTAGGGTGTGAAGGGCGGAGCGAAACGCCCCCCTTCCCATGAGGTTTTAGTCGCCCCCACACTCCCGGCTCATACCTGCTGTCCACAAGGCTCCCATGTGGCCGCCATCTTTCTTTCCAGAGAGGAGAGGGCGAATGGGGCAACACCCTTTCCCCTCCGGCAGGCTTGATGGCCTGGATCAATGCATAGTCCGTTCACTTTTCTGCTCCAAGCTGCTGGGTTCTGCATTAAGTCCTTGTGCTTCTGGGGCCGTGGCTGTGCTGGAGAGCCGCTCGTGGGGGGCAACTGGTGACCACAGTAGGGCGTGAAGGACGGACCAGAACGCCCCCCTTCCCATGAGGTTTTAGTCGCCCCCACACCCCCGGCTCATACCTGCTGTCCACAAGGCCCCCATGTGGCCGCCATCTTTCTTTCCAGAGGGAGGAGGGCGGAAGGGAGCAACACCCTTTCCCCTCTGGGCAGAAATGATTGCCTGGATTAACGCATAGTCCTTTCACTTTTCTGCTCCAAGCTGCTGGGTTCTGCATTAAGCCCTTGTGCTTCTGGGGCTGTGGCCGTGCTGGAGAGCCGCTCGTGGGGGGCAACTGGTGACCTCGGTAGGGCGTGAAGGACGGACCGGAACGCCCCCCTTCCCATGAGGTTTTAGTCGCCCCCACACTCCCGGCTCATACCTGCTGTCCACAAGGCTCCCATGTGGCCGCCATCTTTCTTTCCAGAGAGGAGAGGGCGAATGGGGCAACTCCCTTTCCCCTCCGGCAGACTTGATGGGCTGGATCAACGCATAGTCCGTTCACTTTTCTGCTCCAAGCTGCCGGGTTCTGCATTAAGTCCTTGTGCTTCTGGGACTGTGGCCGTGCTGGGGAGCCGCTCGTGGGGGGCAACTGGTGACCTCGGTAGGGCGTGAAGGACGGACTGGAACGCCCCCCTTCCCATGAGGTTTTAGTCGCCCCCACACCCCCGGCTCATACCTGCTGTCCACAAGGCTCCCATGCGGCCGCCATCCTTCTTTCCAGAGAAGAGAGGGCGAATGGGGCAACACCCTTTCCCCTCCGGCAGACTTGATGGCCTGGATTAACGCATAGTCCTTTCACTTTTCTGCTCCAAGCTGCCGGGTTCTGCATTAAGTCCTTGTGCTTCTGGGACTGTGGCCGTGCTGGGAGCCGCTCGTGGGGGGCAACTGGTGACCTCGGTAGGGCGTGAAGGACGGACCAGAACGCCCCTCTTCCCATGAGGTTTTAGTCGCCCCCACACCCCCGGCTCATACCTGCTGTCCACAAGGCTCCCATGTGGCCGCCATCTTTCTTTCCAGAGGGAGGAGGGCGGAAGGGAGCAACACCCTTTCCCCTCTGGGCAGAAATGATTGCCTGGATTAACGCATAGTCCTTTCACTTTTCTGCTCCAAGCTGCTGGGTTCTGCATTAAGCCCTTGTGCTTCTGGGGCTGTGGCCGTGCTGGAGAGCCGCTCGCGGGGGGCAACTGGTGACCTCGGTAGGGCGTGAAGGACGGACCAGAACGCCCCCCTTCCCATGAGGTTTAGTCGCCCCCACACCCCCGGCTCATACCCGCTGTCCACATGGCTCCCATGCGGCCGCCATCCTTCTTTCCAGAGAAGAGAGGGCGAATGGGGCAACACCCTTTCCCCTCCGGCAGACTTGATGGCCTGGATTAACGCATAGTCCTTTCACTTTTCTGCTCCAAGCTGCTGGGTTCTGCATTAAGTCCTTGTGCTTCTGGGACTGTGGCCGTGCTGGGGAGCCGCTCGTGGGGGGCAACTGTTGACCTCGGTAGGGCGTGAAGGACGGACCGGAATGCCCCCCTTCTCGTGAAGTTTTAGTCGCCCCCCACACCCCCGGCTCATACCTGCTGTCCACAAGGCTCCCATGCGGCCGCGATATGGAGATTTTTAAAAAAGAGATGCCCCAGGAAAATGATGGCTTCTGCAGACCACAGCCCGTTTTTTTTTTTTTTCAGGGATGGCTGAAGTTTCTAGATGCTTGCATCTGCAATCAGCCATCTTTCCTGTTTCCAAAGAAAGGTTTTGTCTCTCTGCAGACTGTTTTCCCTTCTGCTAATTTACAGTGATATCTTTGGCCCTGTTTCCATTAGGAGATGAAAGCATGGAAATTAAAAAACAAGTTACAGGAATGAGAAGGTTACTGAATGACAGCACCGGGAGGATCTACCAGCGCGTCGGCAAGGAAGGGGAGAAACTCAAGGAAGAGCCACAGGACCTGGAATCCCTCTGGCCTCCGCGTCTGAACACCCCCGCAGACCCCCAGAACCTCCCGCCCTCGACACGAGGGGCCTGGAACGAGCTGCCGCCCCACAGCGGGCAGTTCTCAGGGCAGTATGGCACCCGTTCTAGAACCTTCCAGACCCAACCCGCCTCCACTGGAAGCTCCAACGGTACGGCCATTATCAGCATCCAGCATGTGCCCAGGGGTTGAGGGCGAGGGTGGCTTATTGAAAAATATCCCGCCTGTTTTCTGAGTTAATACGGTGTGTGGATTATAACCATCCTTAGTGTCAGCCTTAGCAGAGTTCACTTTGAGAGGAAGAATGAGGGAATATCGAGACGTCTGAAATCACCAGGGCCGAGAGGCAAGACCGGGATGTCAGCAGACGTGATTGCTTAGCAGAGAATTTTGCTTTATTAAGAAGCTAAAGCAGGGCTGGAACGATAGCACAGTGGGGAGGGTTTGCCTTGCATGTGGCCAGCTTGGGCTTGATCCCTGGCACCCATATGGTTATCTCAGCCCCATAGGAGTGATCCCTGAGCACTGATCCAGGAGTAAAGCCCTGAGCATTTCTGGATGTGCCCCCATTCTCTCCCCCACCCCAAAAGAAAGTTAAAACTCTTATTCACTTTACGAAGTTTTTTTTTTTTTTTTTTTGCTTTTTGGATCACACCCGGCATTGCACAGGGGTTACTCCTGGCTCATGCACTCAGGAACTACTCCTGGTGGTGCTCGGGGGACCATATGGGATGCTGGGGATCGAACCCGGTTTGGCCATGTGCAAGGCAAAAGCCCTACCTGCTGTGCTATCACTCCAATCCAACTTTATGCAGATATTATCACAAAGGAGTGAAGATGTGGGCAGAAGAGCCACCTTGGTCATTAAAGCAACTTCCTGTTACGGAACACGTAATTAACATCCGAATTAACATTCTCTTACTCATGTGTCAGTTCATGACCGGCTTGGACACTGTCAGGGGTCAGGCCCAGCCCTCTCACACCCAGGTCACGGACAGCCCCTTTCTCTCACTTTCTTGCCCATGAGCCACCTGTTTTGTTTTTCTTTTGTTTGTTTGTTTGTTTTTTGAGGGGCACACCCAGCATTGCCCACCCGAGTTCGATTCCTCCGCCCCTCTCGGAGAGCCCGGCAAGCTACCGAGAGTATTCGATATGCCAAACACAGTAACAACAAGGTCTCCAATGGAGACGTTACTGGGCCCGCTCGAGCAAATCGACGATCAACGGGAGGGCCTTTACCTTTTACCCAGCATTGCACAGGGGTTACTCCTGGCTCATGCACTCAGTAATTACTCCTGGTGGTGCTCGGAGGACCATATGGGATGCTGGGAATCGAACCTGGTTGGGCCGGGTGCAAGGCAAACGCCCTACCTGCTGTGCTATCACTCTAGCCCCCTGATCTGTATTTTAGAACCTGTTCCATGAGGGCTGGAAATTACTCTTCTAAAGCAAAAGTTTCTCGTGTGAATTCTTGTTAAGTAGAAAAAAAAACCCAAATGGCATTTTTCTCCCCCAAGTTTAAGGAAAGAGTAGATTTTTTTTTTAAGTTGGTTTAATTTTCCATCCAGTGATATTGGACTTTCCTTGTTCTAAAGATCATTTCTAGATGCGCTGGTCTCCAGTTTCCACCCAGAGAACAAGAGAGGAAGAATGTGTTTTCAGGGCAGGGATAGCACAGCGGGGAGGGCGCTGGCCTTGCGCATGCCTGACCCAGGTTCATCCCCGGCATCCCATATGGTCCCTCAAGCCTGCCAGGAGTGATCCCTGAGTGCAGCGCCAGGAGTTAGCCTTGAGCACAGCCAGATGTGCTTTTAAAAAAAAAAAAAATGTGTTTTTGGTTTCCTTGGAAAGTTAAGGATTGCTTTTCCAGTTCAGTGTCCTTCAAAACAATGCACACTATTTTGATTTTTTTTTCCTGTTTTTATGGGGTGGGGGTCTAGCCCTCACCTGGTGATGCTCAGGGGCTATTCTTGGCTCTGTACTGAGGGACCGTAAGTGGTGCTGGGCTATGAACCAGGGTCATAGCCACAGCAGTGAAAGCAAAACACGAACCTTATCTCTTCTACTTTCTCTCTCTGGCCCTGAGTTTTGATCTTTTTTGTTACTATTTTTATTTTGGGGCCACACCCATACTCCTGGTTGTGCTCGGGGGACCTCGTGGGGTGCCAGGGATTGAACCTGGGTCAGCCACATGCAAGGCAAGCGCCCTACTGCTGTGCTGTCGCTTGGACCCACGTTTTGATTTCCCTAAACATGATCTCTCAGAGGTTATAATAGTCCTGAAGCCATCCGGGACGCTGCTGTGAGGGCCCCCGGGGCCCAGGACAGATGGGCTTCTCGTGGCTCCAGTTACATAAGCCAGTATCAGATCCACGGCTGGCCCGCTGCCAGGCCAGGGAGATCGCACTTTAAACACTCCTCCAGACAACGAAAAAGTCAGTTCTCTTTAAAATTAGAGAATGATTTATAACAAGATAAAAAGGGTTGCTTTTGTCCTCTAAAAAACGATAAAAATAGTACTCCGCAGCTAGAAATATTCCCCGCGGCCCTCCTAATTCTCATGCCACGGAAGAAATAAGAGGAGGAATCAAATACGCTCTGGCACGTATTAGTAAGCAAACCCCTCTCGGCCTTCCGTGGCACCTTTGTGTTTCCAGGATGTAGGAGTTCCGGGCTGGTTCTGGAGGTGTTTTTTTGTTTTTGTTTTTTTTTTTTGTTTGTTTTTCGTGTGTGTGGTGTACAACGAGATGGAGCACTGGGACAGAACCCGTGTGTGTGTCTGTGTGTCTCTGTGTGTGTGTCTGTGTGTCTGTGTGTGCGTGTATGCGTGCGTGAGTTCATGTGTGTGCGTGCGTGTGTGCATGTGTGTGTGTCTGTGTGTGTGCATGTGTGTGTGTGCGTGTGCACATGTGTGTGTGTGTGTTTGTGTGTCCATGAGGGGAGTCCTTGGGGGCCCTCTCAGGAGCAGGGCTCATGTGATGGCAGGAAGGAGCAGGTGAGTCTCCCAAAGTCCCAGGGATCTTGGCCTAGACACATCAAACTCAGCTCATTAAGGAAGAGATTGAATTTCAACCGTGAGGCGAGACAAACAGGGAGGATGGGGAATGGGGAAGGATGCAAGAGGATCTCCCGATTAAGTCGCAGGACAGCGCCGGCCAATGGGGCTTGAGCCAGAGCCTCGGCACAGCAGCTGAGGCCTCCAGCACATGGCCCAGTGGGGTCACTAATTCCCAGCACCCCAAACAGCCCCTGGGCCCCGCCACTAGGATCCCTGAGCATTGTGGAGTATGCCCAAAACCAACCAAAATACCCTTTAGTCCCTCCTCCCTGCCCCCTGTTCTTGCCTGCCCCAGACACCCACACCAGCAGGCCTCGGTGAGCTTCCCGCACGCTCACAGTTCTAATGGCCACAGTCAGATGTCCAGACTGGAACTCTGATTTTTTTTGTCCTTTGACATTTAATTCTGATTATGAGTCTTATCCCACATGCAGTTGACAGGTCACTCTGCTATGCCCATGCTGGGGCTCAGTTTAGTGCACCGCTGTGCATGTCTAGTGAGTTTTCATGGCCCCATAAGTGGAAATGAACTGGGCTGACATAGGGTGCAGGCTGCAGCCGTCGTATGCACACAAGCTCACGGGCACCATGCCCTGGGACATAGCACGCTCCTCACAGGAGCCAGCACTCAGGTGGTGGAGGCGACCAAGGTCAGCACTCAGGTGGTGGAGGCAACCAAGCACAGCACTCAGGTGGTGGAGGCGACTGAGCTCAGCACTCAGGTGTTGGAGTTGTCTGAGCACAGCACTCAGGTGGGAGAGGCGACTGAGGTCAGCACTCAGGTGTTGGAGATGTCTGAGCACAGCACTCAGGTGGTAGAGGCGACTGAGGTCAGCACTCAGGTGGTGGAGGTGACCGAGCACAGCACTCAGGTGGTGGAGGCAACGGAGCACATTTTTCTGAGGCGGCTTCGTGCTCTCTGTGGCTGCAAACCCTCCCAGGCCTGTGTCTTTGTCCCCTGCTTTGTACACTCCCTTGTTTGGAGTCTATCATTCTCTTCTTTCTTGCTCAGGAGAACTCCCGGTGGGGAGTCCGTCGGTGGGCTCTAACTGCTGCACCTGCAACTGCCAGTCGACCCTGCAGGCCATCCTGCAGGAGCTCAGGACCATGCGGAAGCTGATGCAGATCCAGGCAGGTATGAGGTGTCTCGTGCCCGTGCTTCCCTCACCCTACCGGGGGGTGCTGGGTGCTGAGTTCTCTCTCCAGCTGGCTGCCTCGCTGGGCTCCTTCCTTCCCATCGATGCTGTCTGGCCCCTCTGCCCCAGCCCATCTAAACGGTTTCTTCTTGGGAGTCTGACCACTGGGTCCTTATGACCTGCGGTTCTCACATTCCCCCCCGACGCCCTCAGGAATGGGTTCTGGACACTTGGAAAGCACTCTGTACTGCCTCCTTGGCATCCGTCCTCTTTGTAGGACGGAAGGAGCACATCTGGCTTAGCAGTGTGGGCTCCCGAGCCGGAAGCCACCCAGTCTTCAATGTGGAGGAGGCACATCCGCATCTGGGACCCCATGGGGGTACTCGGGCCTCTGTGCATGGTCCGTCCACTCGCTTGCTGTCCCCGTCCCTCATCAACCAGCAAAATAGCCGTGTGCTTCATTTCAGGGTGCTCCAGTCTACGTGTCCCCTCTCAGAGCTGTGTGGCTTCTCCAAGTCCCAGATTTCCCCTCGTAGGGCGCCCTCTCGGCACCTTTGGTCAAACCGCTACTGCCACGGCCCTGTCCTCTCATCTGCATTCACCGCTGTCGCCCCCTCGGCAGGGAAAGTTCACCTGTGAGCCCACCGTGGCCTGAGGGGTCGGCATCCAGGAAAGGCAGCAAGCAGAGACGACCCAGAGCCCGGGAGAAAATCCTAGCAAAACTTTAATATTCGGTGATAGGGCTTTGATATAAAAACTTAATACTTAGGCTTGTCGGCCTCTGAGATTACCTAAAGTGAGGGCACAGAAGGCACCCAGGAAAGCACCGATTAATGCTCTGGACGTACTGGTGGCACCCCCGGGAGCCACAAGCCCCCTCGCCAGGCCAGTAGGCATCAGCCCGCCTTGCTTAGTCACGATAATCTGTGTTCTTACGAACCTAGCAAAGGTTAACATCCCCTAAATAAGGCGCTCAGGAAGAAAGGTTACTTCATTATGTGCGGATTCTCCCTCCCCCTCTCTCTCACGGAGGAAGAATTTGTTAGCACTTAAGAAAATATGCACATGAAATTGTAATGATTTATTTTGTTCCTTAAGCTCCTTACTACTGAAATGGCAAACTACAAATTACAACCATTTAAATCCTTGACTGAAGCCTTTTTAGAATCTATTAAGTAAATGCCACTTTGTCACCGTGTTTTCTTTCCTGAACCTTGCAGATTAGGGCAGTAAACGATTCCAAAGCCGGAGAATAGCCGAAAGGATAAACTGAATAAATGAGTCTCCTTTAATTTTCTTAAACTTAAGAATTGGTGTTGTGTGGGTAGATTTACTTAAGCTCCATTGCATATAAGGCTTGGATTTAAACTGTATTTAGAAAGTTTCACCTTTACTGTAGGGAGAGGACCATAAGGTCTGGATGCCAGAGGCAGAGCTGTGCTCACGGTTTCAGGATAAGGAAAGTACGAGAAGTTCCCCGAGCGCTTTGGTGCAAAAGTATTTTTACTTTTCACTGGCAGCAAGGAACTTGGAAAGAAGCGGTCTCTGGGAGACAGCAGCTTAGTGACCTTGTGAGACATGGAGATCTAGCCTTGGGTGAAAATTCAGATAGAACAGGAAAAGTTGGGGGCCAGAGCAATAGTGCAGTGGGGAGGAAGTCTGCCTTGCTTGTGGCCGACCCAGGTTCAATCCCCGGCATCCCATATGGCCCCCAGAGCACCGCCAGAGTGATTCCTGAGTGCAGAGACAGGAGTAACCCCTGAGCATCGCAGGGTGTGACCCAAAAAGCAAAAAGCAAAAAAAAAAAAAAAAAAAACCAGGAAAAGTTTTCCCCTCCTAGGCTGGATTCACTGAAGGTTTTGAAAGCAAGGCTGCAGCCCAGAGCCCACCCGGAAATTCGATTCCTCTGGTCTGGGGCAAGGCCCAAGCAAAGGTGCTTTGTAAAAGCTCCGAGTGACTTGCACACACAGCCAGGGTAGAGGATCGCTGAGCTAGTCTACTCACTACATAGGTAGAAAACTTTCCAGCGCTCATTACAGCACCAGTAACAGCTAATGCTCATTTGTAATTTTCTCTCCCATCTGGGGATGAAAAATACCATGTTTCAAGTGTCAACAGTCTTTATTTGCAAAGGGATAGGAACTGATCCACACTTGCGAGCATTTAAAGACTTGCATTTTCTTTTGGCTTAAAGTTTTGTGTCTCTGTAAAAAAAAAAAAAAAAAAGTAGGTATGTGCAATGGGTACTTGGGCAAGCCATACTGATACACTTAGCCCATAATAAAAATAACGTAATAATGCCATACTTTCCTATTAGAGTACTGTATACTTTCCATTTGAGTGTTGTTAAGTGCTTAATAAACTTCTCAGAGTGCACCTGTGAAAACCGTAATTACTCCCTGTGGTAAGTATTAGATTCAGTATTAGAACTTCTCCATGCTTATGCCTTTCCTCTTTGAAATTCAAGCTGCTTCTGGATTTTACTAATTTGCTTGCCTTGCTAAGGACTCTGTTCTTTTCTTCCTCTTCTTTTCTTTTCTTCCTTTCCCAGTTTTGGGGCCATACCCATCTGTGCATAGGGCTTATTCCTGCCTCTGATCCCAGGGCTCACTCCTGACGGTGCGTGGAGAACCGTTTGTGTTACCAGGGATCAAACCCTGGTTGGCCGTGCCCTGCCCTCTGTGCTCTCTCTCTGTCCGTAGAATTGGATTATTTTTTGTGATGGTGGCCTGGTCTGAATTAGTAGTACAGTGCTCCAGGAGTCACTAGAAGGCGGGCAGCCCTGTGTGGTGAGAAAGGATTGAAGCGGCCGCTGTAAGTGACCAGCAGACTTTGCCCACCTACTTTGGGGACCCATCGGAGAATCAGCCCAGCAGGTCTCTTCTGGCCGGACTTGCCTGAATAACTATCCTTGTTCTGTCTCCTTTGACTTTGGAGATTGCTGGCAATGGGCGAGTTTTACCTTAAAGTACAACTGGCAGTTCCGTAGGTGAGCTTTACCAGAACATGGGCCTCTGACGCCTCTGTTTAAGTTCCAGGTTCTCATGGATAAGAAACTGCCTGGTTGGTACCTTTCAAATAAAACCACACACGTTTTCTCGCCACTCGCTACCCTTCCCACCGCAGAATGGTGGGACTATTTGCTTGCATCAGTCTTGACTGCCTTTGAACTATCCCATGGCCAGGGCTCAAGGTATGTCCAGCCTAGCTTCATCCTCAATGGGTCTCCTGTTGGGGCCAGAGCGATAGGACAATGGGCAGGGCATTTGCCTTGCACACGGCCGACCCGGGTTCCATCCTTAGCATTCCTTATGGTCCACCAAGTACCACCAGGAATGATTCCTGAGTGCAGAACCAGGAGTAACCCCTGAACATTGCTAGGTGTGGCCCCAAAACAAAAAACTAAACAAAATAAAAATGGGCCTCCTGTTGGTGCAGAAAAAAGCTCCATGACGGGGCGAGGGCATCACCTTCCCCTGATGTGTTTTTGTTTACTGTCCCCTCAGCAGGAAGCCAAAGTCGACAACAACCCCCCCTCTCCCTCATGTGCTCCCAGCGAGCGGCTGTGTCACGCAAGAGAAACAAAAAGAAAAAAGTCCCTCCCAAGACGGAGCCTCTCACTGTGAAGCCCAAGCCCAGCGCGACGGGGTCGGAGCAAAGGGCCAACACCCCCGAGCCTGGGCCCCGGGCCGCCCAGCACAGCCCCGCCGAGGAGAAGCGTCTACTCGGCTTTGGCATTGTTCTAGAATCTCCTTCCTCAGATGTAAGTTGATTATTTTTTTTTTCCTGGCTGCTGACGTAAATGTGACAGAACTTCCAGGAGTTTTATAGTCAGAATGCACTTCCCCCCCACATTGCGCGCAACTTCCGCCTTCGCTTCTGCGCGGGGGGCCCCAGAAAATCAGAGAAACTTGCAGGATACACAGGGAAAGAGGAAAGGCAGGCATTTGGCTCCATTCTGGACTCGGATTTTTCTCCTGGGGAGCTCTTCTCTGCCTTCGTTATTTCGACGGGTTTCCATTCTCTGTGTCTGCAGGAAGGGGTTGGGGGGGGAGGAAGGCATTAATAACCTGTTCCCTAATTTCTGTAACATCTTTAATTTTGCAGTGGCCGTTTTCAATTTCCTCAGCTTAGAGAGCTAAAAGAACATAATTAAATCCTTTGTAGAGGGGCGTAAATGAACAAAGCCTTCCAGATAAGGTCACACCTTTCGAGAAACACAAACTAATAATAAAAAAGGAGCAGGAGTGCTAATTCTATTTTATAGATGCAAGCAATACTGCTAATTAGGGTGAGGAGCCGTGCCACTTAGTCTGTGTAATGATAGGTTAACACGCTGGAAAGGTTTTTTTTTTTCTATTTTAATATCAGAGCCGTCCACGGTGCTGTCCCCAACGCGGGTCTTTGACAGGGGAACTGGCCGCTGACGGGTGGGTCTCGCCCGTGGCCGGTGCCCCTTTCCCTAGCTCCGTGCTCTTGCCTGGCACCTGCACCCTGTTTACACTCTCCACTTGTTGAGAATTCTTAAAATAAACAAGAGATGCCTGATCTATTATTATCCGATAGCATAGGATGAGCCTCCCGCTGAGAACTCCCACAGCCTCTATAGGATTGGAGTTTGGCCCTACCTTTTAAACTTGAAATAAGAAATAAATTGCTATTTAAAAAAATAATAATAAAGTGTTCGCTTTCCAACTGCAGAAAGACAATTCGCCAGCATACATCCACGGAGGTCATTAAAAAAAAGGGAGGTGACAAAAATAGCGATCTTGTGACATTTCTGGACAAGAAAATCATTTGAACTTTCATCCAGTCCTTGGAGCTAAAGAGTCTTTGTCCGTCTTTTCATCCCTGAATATCTGCTACAATTGCTTAGAAGTTTTTCTAGGCTAAAAACTTAGTTTATTTTGGGGGCTTGGGAGCCCACACCCAGCAGTGCTCGGGGCTTACTCCTGATTCTGTGTTCAGGGAACACTCTTGATGGTGCTCAGGATATGGGATGCCGGGGATCAAACCAGGGTTGGCCACGTGGAAGGTCAGTGTCCTACTCACTGTACTATGACTCCCTGGCTAAAAACTTTGTTGTTTTTTGTTTTTTGGTTTTTGTTTTTTAAAAAAAGGTCATAAATTGGGGCTGGAGAGATAGTATAGAAGGGTAGGGTGTTTGCCTTGCATGCCACTAATCTGGGTTCGATCCCAGCACTCTGTATGATCTCCTGATCACAGCCAGGAATAATTTCTGAGTGCAGAGCCAGGAGTAAGCCCTGAGCTTTGCCAGGTGTGGCCCAAAAAAACAAACAAAAAAAGTCATTAACAGTAATGTGTTAGCTTGGGTTACTCAGCTCATTAGATCCTATGATACTTGTTACTGCAATTACGACCTCAGTTTGTGAAACCCACACAGATTACATATCTATAAACAGGTCGATTATTGTTCAACAGAAATACATTTAATGTTAAGTCATTTTCATCATGCTCTTAATATTTTTCTTGAATTTTCTAAGGATTCATTTCTGATGCGCATTGAAGTCTCGGGAATAATTAAGTCACATCGATCATCTTCTAAATGGCTAATCTAATGCTAATAACAACTTTCTCCTTAAAAAAGAAAAAGACTTTTAGGTCTCAAGTATACTTCAGAGGTAAATTGAGAGAGACCTAATTAAGGCCATAGAAATATTACTAAGGTATAGGGCTGGGGCCATAGTATAGCGGGTAGGGCATTTGCCTTTCATATTGCTGACCCGGGTTCGATTCCCAGCATCCCATATGGTTCCCTGAGCACCTCCAGGAGTAGTTCCTGAGTGCAGAGCCAGGAGTAACCTCTGTGCATTGCCAGATGTGACCCAAAACACTAAATAAATCACGGTCACTGTCCTCCCGTTGTTCATCAATTTGCTCGAGCGGGCCCAGTAACGTCTCCATCGTGAGACTTGTTGTTACTGTGTTTGGCATATCGAATACATCACGGGGAGCTTGCCAGGCTCTGCCGTGTGGGCGAGATACTCTCGGTAGCTTGTGGGGCTCTCCGAGAGGGGCGGAGGAATCGAACTCGGGTCGGCCATGTTGGCTGCGTGCAAGGAAAATGCTGTGCTATCGCTCCAGCCCACTAAATAAATAAATAAAAATATTAGCAAGGTAGAATAGAAGGGCTGGAGAAGTAGTGCAGTGGGTCAGGCACTTGGGCTTGTGCCTTTCTCCATCCCCAGCACCATACATTGTCCCTCGAGAACCACCCAGAATGATCCCTGGGCCCAGAGCCAGGAATAAGCCCTGAGTGTCACCAGGTATGAATCCAAAATCAACAAAAAATGGAATAGAATTTTTCTTTATAAATATAATTTTACTGAAATACTGAGTATTGATGTTTTTTTCCTCCATTTTGGGCCACACCCAGCAGTGCTTGGAGCTTACTCCGGCAGTGCATATAGGTCTATGTAGGCTTTGAAACGAGGTTGGGCTCAGTGAAGCACCTTACCCATATATTCTCTCTCTACCCTCCAAGGATTGCTTTTTTTATTTATGATGATTCTTGCTAACAAGAGCTGCTAAACAAAGTATATTCAGAATTATCCATAAAAAAAAAAAAAACCCAGCTATTGGGGCTGGAGCCACAATACAGCGGGTAGGGCATTTGCCGTGCACGCGACCGACCCAGGTTTGATTCCCAGTACCCCATATGGTCCCCCGAGCCCTGCCAGGAGTAATTCCTGAGTGCATGAGCCAGGAGTAACCCCTGCGCATTGCCAGGTGTGACCCAAAAAGCAAAAAAAAAAAAAAAAAGCTATAGTCTTTGAAGAGTAACATGTTTCTAAAGAAAAGCAAAATATATATGGATATTCCCTTTCCATGGTCTTCCAGCAGAGGTATACCATTTGATTCATCTAGTCATCATAAACGAGGCCAAGGAAATCTGATTGTATGATCTGTGCTTAGAGAGCGCTGCCCTGCATGGCCCTGGGGACGAGGGTTGGTGAAGCAGGCACTGACTCCTTGAGGGAAGGGACCATCCAAATGGAGGCATCCAACTCAGGTGCTTCCAGTCTTTTATTAATTCTTATCCACGAGCCTCTCAAAATCTGGTGGAAATTAAGACCGGAAAGCAGAAGGTGTATGGTCATCTCATGGGGGTGATTTTATTCAAAAGTCTGGTGAAAATGTCAAGGCCACGTTGGATGAAATACAGGAATGTGTGGGCAGGAACCCTGGGCAGTTCCCAGGGTTAGACGATCTGGCCCAGAGCTGTGGGATTGGACAAGAGCAAGCGGGCCAATGGGCCTTTGCATGGTCAGATGGGGTGAGACTCACGGAGGCTGTTGGCCTTTGTCCTGTGGGCAGTGGGGAACCACTGTGGTTTGCCGGCTCAGGAAGTATTGGCTGGCTTCAGACTGACAGCTGGGTGACAGGTGGGGAAGCCGATTGTCAGACAGACCAGGACCAGCCTTCTAGGCCCGTCAGGGAACAGGAGAAATGAGACCGCGTAGGCTTGCACACAGAGACGGGGGGAGCCCCAAGTTTCTGCCTCTGTGTACTGACCTCTTCGGGTCTGAAGGGCAAGACCAGAGGCAGGTCTCCTGCCCCAGATGGGCAGTGCCAGTGCCATCCAAGCGTTTGCTAGATGCCGGCACTCTAGAGAAAGGTCAGAGGTAGAAGTTAACAGAGACAGGATACGTGCCACTTAAGACGTTTATAAATAGTAAGTGTTTGCCGTCAAGCCTCTGGAACGTGGTGTGTTGAAGGGGAAGTCTTCTAACACTTTTGGACTTGTAGGGTCCCCAAGTAAACTTGTATCCGCAAACTCGCCCATAGAAGCGCCCCGTGGGCTGGAGCCCATGACCACCAGATCCCATTCTGTCTAGAAACGGTGCAACCCAGCGAAAACCTGCCACAGCGGGTGATCGTGTTGCAAGTCCTGGACACAGGACATAGGGGGAAGGTTCTGGGTCAACAGCCCTTTAGTCTGCAAAAGGCTGCACCAGGCTCAGGTCAGACTCTGGGCCTAGAACTCCACCTTGGTTCAAACTTTAACCTGCCTGCGATGCCCTTTCCCTCTTCCCTCTCCTCCACAAGCTCCACCTGAAGCTCCTCCTGCATCAGACTGTCTGTGGCCCTCTGCAGCCCGGGCAGCACCTGATTCCCAGGCACTGATGGCCCAAGGGATCATCGTCAGGCTTATTTGAGGGAAGAGGAAGCAGGCACAAAAGGCCACGTCGCCTGCTGAACATGAGCAGGTCCCCACGCCTGGGCCGCGGGCGCGTTCTCCTAGCTCAGGGTAGGGACGCACAGTGCTCAGATGCTGGGGGCAGTTGGTATGCAAGGAAGGTGAACGCTTTCAAAAACGCTTTCTCCTTTTGACTCAGGACTGTCGGGGGGAACTTGGTTGTTCTTGCAGGCTCTGGGGTCCAGCTCCCTGAGCGAATAGCACAGGGCTGACCCATGCCGGCACATGGACACTTGCTGCCCTCTGTTTCCTCCTCAGCACACGGAGCTAAAGAGTAGCAGGCAGGAGCCGGAGCATAAGACAGCGGGGAGGGCGTTTGCCTTGCACGGGGCTGACCCAGGTTTGATCCCCAGCATCCCATATGGTCCCGCAAGCACCACCAGCAGTAATTCCTGAGTGCAGATCCAGGAGTAAGCCCTGAGCATTGCTGGGTGTGACGCAAAAAGTCAAAAAGAGTAGTAGGGCTGGCCTGGGGTGGCTGAAGTCAGCCATGCACGAATTCCACTGGCCACACAGCAGAGATGCTTTCATTTTAAATAACC